GAGCGAGGTGAAGAAGAGCTTTTCATTCAAACAGTAGGTCATTTAATGCCTTTGATCTCACAGCTGTTTAGGATAAAATAATTAACAAGACACACACACAGTCTGACAATGTGTGTGTGTGTGTGTGTGTGTGTGTGTGTGTGTGTGTGTGTGTGTGTGTGTGTGTGTGTGTGTGTGTGTCACTGCCTATGGCAGCCAATTAGCGCACCTGGAGACACACAGTTGACTGAAAAGCTGCTTCTAATGGCCGTATGAGATACATGAAGCCAGGCTCAGTACACAGAGCACTGAGGGTTACATTTAAAACCCTTCACAAGAGCACTCTCCTACCACAAACTTTGAGCTACAGAAACCATTCAGGGCTCCAAAAATTCAGCTCATTGAGGATATTATGGGGTGTACTCTGGATTTTTATTCATTTAACTTTTCCCCACTTTAAATTTTTTGTCATTATTCATGCTTTATTAAATTCTTCAGACAAATCGAAACTCATTCAAACTGATTCAAACCTATCTGATATTTCAAACCTGTTTAACACTTTAGGACTTCTAATTATTTAAAATTTTTCCCATTTCAAAATCATTCTCATTATTTATGTATGTTTTAATTCTTCAAACAAAATCCCAGTTCTACCACTACAATTACTACTTATATCACTTTAACTTGTATCTTCACTTCTACCTCCACTACTCTTGCTTCTCTTAATATTTTTTTTACTTCTACTCTTACTACTACCACGAGCTCTACTGCTTTGACTTCTACTTCTTCTATTCTGCTCGTCTGCTCAGCCTCAACACCTGGCTGCTTTCCGCCTGCAGAGACTATGAGGTTGGTTTTATCAACAATTTTAATCTATTTTGGAATCGCTACTCCGCATACAGGCCAGATGGAGTGCACCCAAACAAATTAGGCAGCACCATGCTAACTGCTAGTTTACAGCACTCGGTGCAATCTGCCACACGTGACTGACTATTGTTTACCCCACACACCCCCTTCCACACCTCTTCACCTTCACCTTCCGCGGCAGCGCCCAGTGCTGCTTCACTCAACACTGCCCTCTATGGACCTACTGTTCACATCCACGACCACACTGTTCAATATCCCATCCCAGTACACATCAGTTCACGTCATCACTCCCATCAATACAAGCCCGCCTCTGCAGGTCCACGGCCCCGGGTGGCTCTAAGGGACTTAAGGCGACAGCGAGGTGTGCTCATCCAGTGGGGTCATTAATTTGGCCATGCTAAACGTGCGCTCTCTTTTAAACAAGACTTTTATAATGAATGACCTGATTATAGACAGCAAACTTGATATTTTACTGCTCACAGAAACATGGCTTGGTACTGAGGCAGGGGTTTCCCTCTCTGAGGCCTGTCCACCTAATTTCAACTTTTTATTTTCTACTAGGGAAGGCAGGGGAGGCGGGACTGCATCTTTTATCTTGAAATCGCTTAATTCTTGTGAAGTTTCTTTTAACAGTTATACATCATTTGAATACACTGCATTTGTCTTTAGCAGTCCCCCTATTCTATGTATTACTATCTATAGGCCACCTCGTCATCCCAAGGTTTTTATCAGTGAATTTTCAGAACTTCTCTCAGTCATACACTCTACCTATAACAGGATTTTAATAGCTGGTGATTTTAACTTCCATGTTGACAACAGTTCGGATGCAATGTCCAGAGAATTTTTAAATATTTTAGATTGCATGGATTTTAACCAACACGTTGCCCAGCCAACTCACAACAGAGGACACACTCTGGACCTGGTCATAAGTTATGGCCTGTCCACTGGTGTGTCCTCTGTTGTTGACCTAGCGGTGTCTGACCACTACTGCGTGTTTTTTAATATCACCAGTTTTAGCCATCGAGAGGCCTCAGTGAGAACGGTGAGGAAACGCTTCCTTACTTCTGAAGTGGCTGCAAATTTTATAGAGATTTTACAGAACACTCCTGCTGAAATTTTACCTGCACCTTGTGATTTTATTGTCGATGATTTTAACAACAAATTAAAGACATCACTAGATGCAGTGGCTCCACTTTTAACTAAAACAGTAAGAACTAAGAAAACACAACCGTGGAGAGATGGCAACATCAAGCAACTGAAGAGAAAATGCAGGAGTGCAGAGAGAAGGTGGAGAAAAACCAAATTAACAGTCCACTATGAAATATACCGGGATCAACTAAAAACCTACTATAACGCAATGAAATTGTCCAGAAGAAATCGTTTTTCAAAACTCATTACTGACAATAAAAACAAACCGAGGTTTCTCTTTTCCACTTTTAATCTTTTAACCAGCACCGATTCTAATGTGTCCTTGACACCTACAGTGACCCTCTGTGAGGACTTTACAGACCACTTCAGAAGCAAGATTGACCATCAGATCCAGTCTTGTATCTCATCAGAATGCTGTTCTTAATACACCTGGATCACTGCTTTTACCCGTGGAGACACTGGAGAGTTTTAGTCTGGTTGATGCAAAGGCCCTTGGTCGAGTATTCTCCCAGGTAAACCCCACAACCTGCCTTTTAGATCCAATTCCCACATCGCTTTTAAAGACATGTTATGAATTCTTCGAGGAACAGATTTTAAATATAGTGAATTGCTCTCTTCAGACGGGTGTCGTCCCTACTGCCTATAAAATGGCGGTGGTGAAGCCCCTTCTGAAGAAGAGCAATCTAGACCACAATGTTTTTAACAACTACAGGCCTGTATCTAATCTACCATTTTTAAGTCAAATCTTAGACAAGGTAGTTTTTAACCAAGTGAATTATTTTTTAACTAAAAACAATATTTCTGAGAAATTTCAATTTGGCTTTAGGATGAACCACAGCACCGAGACGGCTCTTTTGAAGATTTTAAATGACACCAGATGTAATTTAGATACCAAAAAACTAACAGTCTTGGTCTTCCTGGATCTTAGTGCTGCTTTTGATACCGTAGACCATCACATTTTATTAAACAGACCGAAGCATTTGGTTGGCCTCTCTGGTACCGTTTTTAAGTGGTTCCACTCCTATCTCATGGATCGATCTTTCTTTGTAAATATGGATACATGTTCCTCCAGAACACATAAAATTAAGTGTGGGGTCCCCCAAGGGTCAATTTTAGGCCCATTTCTTTTTAATCTTTATACACTTCCTTTGGGGGATGTCATCAGGAGGCACGGCATCAGTTTCCACAGTTACGCTGATGATAGGCAGTTGTACATTGCTGTGTCTCCTGATGACACAGGGCCAGTTGATGCCCTTTTTAACTGCATTTCAGATATTAAGTCATGGATGGCAGATAATTTCCTCCAACTCAACCAGAATAAAACAGAGGTTTTAGTCATTGGTCCTGAAGGCCTGAGAGAGAAACTTTTACCAAAACTACAAAATTTTAAACCCTCACAATGTGTTAAGAACCTTGGCGTTATTCTTGACTCTGAGCTCACTTTTATTCCCCACATTAAGAACATCACGAAGATAGGTTTTTACCATCTCAAGAATATAGCCAGAGTCCGCCCGTTTCTATCTCAGGCCAGCACGGAGGTGCTCATGCATGCTTTTATTTCGAGTCACCTAGATTATTGTAATGCCCTGCTCTCTGGTCTTCCCAAAAAAAGCATTAGTAGCTTACAACTATTACAAAACTCAGCCGCTCGTGTACTGACGAGGACCAGAGGGCGGGAGCACATTACACCCGTTTTGAAATCACTGCATTGGCTCCTCGTCCGCTTCAGGAGCGATTTTAAGATTCTTTTGCTGGTTTATAAATGTCTTAATGGTCTTGGGCCGTCTTATTTATCTGACCTGCTTTTAGCATATCAGCCCTTGCGGACCCTGAGGTCCTCTGGTACCGGCCTTTTAACTGTCCCACAAACCATGACAAAGATGCACGGTGAGGCTGCCTTCAACCACTATGGCCCTTACCGGTGGAACAGCCTGCCAGAGACCCTCAGGGCCGCAGAGACTGTTGATATTTTTAAAAAGGGGCTAAAGACACACCTTTTTAGTCTGGCGTTTAAGTGATTTTATTTAAAACATTATTTTTATTTGTTTTAATCTTTTAGTTCCAAGCGTTTAGCTGATTTTATTTAAAATATTATTTTTATTTGTTTTAATCTTTTAGTTCCTAGCGTTTAACTGATTTTATTTAAAACATTATTTTATGTGTTTTAATCTTTTAGTTCCTAGCTCCAGTGTCTCCTCATGCGTTCTTCCTCACTAGGACCCTCGGTACAAAGCCATGACGAAATGCAAAACAACCAAGCACTGTCCTGTGTGTGTATGTTTGTGTGTGGGTAGGTGGGTGGGTGGGTGTGTGTGTGTAAGTGATTGTGTATCTGTGTGTGGGCGTGGGAAGGAGGGGTTTTATTTTTATTTATTCTTATCTTATCATTCTGTAAAGCACTTTGTGCTACTCCTATGTATGAAAAGTGCTATACAAATAAAATAAATTTGAATTTGAATTATTCTAAAACTACTTCTACTGCTTACATGACTACTTAATATTACTACTACAACTACCTATTATCATACTACTTCTAGTACTACAACGTAAACTTATGCCACTTCTCACTTTTCTGTGTTTTAAGGTAATTTTCTTCCTTATCCAATTTTTTTGCAATTTCAGACAGTTTTTCTAGCCTTATTCAGCATGAATGCAGTTTTGATTTATGAAGCACATTCATACTCTTTGTACTTCAGCAATTTTCACTTTCATCCAACTTCTACTTTTCTTTCTCCAGCTCTTTAACCAATTTTACATTCAAACCTTCCTCCGTTTTTTTTTTTTTTTTAGCAGTTTTGCATTGCTTTTTCAGCTTTCAGCACTCAGCATTTCCACGCATTTTCTGCAACCAAATGCAATTTTTCTAGTTATTATTATTATTATTATTATTATTATTATTATTATTATTATTATTATTATTATTATTATTATTATTATTTTGCTTAGGTCGACAGTAAGGGACAGACGGTGGCGGTAATGCACCAATAAGCTGGATGCCAACCGCCGTTAAACAGGACGAAGAAGAAGTACTACGCCTCGCGGCGTCTACTTTGCCGGAAAAAAAGAAGAAGAAAACACGGAAACGGTTCAGTGTGTGTCTGTGTGAATGAAAGGCGCCAGTCTGGATCCTGTTGAATTAGTTCCTAAACTTCCTCCTCTGACCACCGGGACCCTTTGGAAATCGGAGTTTATTCCAGATATTCGCCGGTTTGATACTCGTGAACTGTAAACTGGTAGCTGTGAACTGTCATGGCGGTAGGAGGCGGAGCGGCTCAGACTCATCTGGGCGATGTTGAAGAGGATGCTTCTCAGCTGTTATTTCCTAAAGGTTTCTGCTGTTCATCTGCTCAATTACATTTATTTACTGTTCTCCAAAGGTTTCACCACAACATTAACATTGGCTCCTCGTCTAAATGTCAGTGCAGCCCTGATTTCACGTTTTGGTTTTGTGTTCACTCCTTTGTCACTACTCAGATTAGCCCCTCGAAAGTCTACATCTGTGGATGACCCCTGCAGCTGTAAAAATCAGTGTTTTGAACATAATTTCCATTTTATCCTCCATTTAACCACTATATTGTTTTCTCATGTCACAGAACAAGGGCAAACTGTCAGACGAGTGACACCAGGGTTGGAGTTTTTTGCAGCATCCCTCTGTTTTTTTCCGAAAGGCTCCAGATTAAAAAATAAATTAATTAATCCTGACCTGAAGAACTACAAATATGTCTGCCACTGTGTTTTGTGGGAGCAGTCACCCTGTACCCTGGATGTGACTCTGTGTGTGCATGTGTGTCACAGAGTTTGAGAACGCAGAGACCCTTCTGAATTCAGAGGTCCACATGTTGCTGGAGCACAGGAAGCAGCAGAATGAAAGCGCTGAGGACGAGCAGGAGCTGTCTGAGGTCTTCATGAAGACCCTGAACTACACGGCCCGCTTCAGCCGCTTCAAGAACCGCGAGACTATTACCGCCGTGCGCAGGTCTCACCTATCACCTGTCTTTCTGTTTTATAAGGTCTGATCTGGATCTGAATTGTCCCCCTGTCTCTAGTCTCCTCCTGCAGAAGAAGCTCCACAAGTTTGAGCTGGCCAGTCTAGCAAACCTGTGTCCTGAAGCTGCAGAGGAAGCCAAAGCCCTGATCCCCAGGTCAGTTTGACCCACATTACTCCCAGACCCCGTCACACGTTAATACTACACTGAATCTGTCCACAAATAAACCTGAACAGAGACCAGACCACAGCTGAGATCTGCAGAGGAGTGTTAAGTTAAACCTTAAAGCCTTTTTCTGTACTTGTGTAGTCTGAGGCGGTAATTAAGAGTCCCTCGGGGATCAAAACAGGAACTTGAAGGGCAAACATTTGATTGGTTCAGCAGTCTCTGATCCACATCAGACTTTATCCTGCGTCAGTTCTTCTTGCATGGAAGCATATTGGCTGTGTGACGGACTCAGGAGGGACAGACATGACTGACATGTCCTCAGATCAGACTGTCAGCTTATTTGGCAAGCCTCGGTTATTTATACTCAAAAAATGCTGAACTGAGGGCTGTACTCACTCTGTATTGGGAATCTTCAAGTCAGTAGCATTTAGCGATTTGAATTTGTAATGAATGTCCTAAGATTAATAATTGATAGTAATATAAATTATGACATTTATGCACTTGTTAAAATGGTGGGAAAATAAAGAAAAACTAAAGTTTAATTCAGAAATCAAACATTAAGTTAATCTTAAATGAATCAATCTCATATCTCAAGCCGAAATTCTCATTTCAAAGACTCTACTTCTGGAAGAACACTAACAGACAAGAACTTCGAAAAATAATGATCTGTTTATTACAGGGTAAATGATGGTTCAACATACATGCAATAAATGAGGATAAACAAAAGTAGATGAATAAAAGATTCTAAGTCAGCCTATGATTACTAGAGTTGATGATAATGAGTGAATATGCTCTAACATATTAACCTACATTAACTGTTGAGAGCTCTGGAGGTTTGCATACCGAAGTGAGGCTGGTCTTTGGAGAGGATGGAAAGAAAGGATGGATTTCATGTAATGCTCTGTTTATTTGTAAAAAGATGTAACTCTAATAGTGCTGTATTTTAGGTGAGGGTGACCTATGTTAATTATTTCATACAATTGGGTTACAATGTAATTCAGTGCCATCTCTCCTCATCTTGGACAGAGAGAGACAGAGAAAGCGTGCCCCTTTTAGATCAGCTGTGTGAATCGTGTGTGTTTTTGTGTGTATTTTTAGTTTGGAGGGTCGGTTTGAAGACGAGGAGCTGCAGCAGATCCTGGACGACATCCAGACCAAAAGAAGCTTCCAGTACTGAATCCGGGACCAGAACCAGGCTCTGTGCATTTGTTCCTCCTGCCCTGACATCCACCAGGAACCTGTCCTCCTATCAGTGTTTTATAATTTTTCGTAAATATGAACTGAGTGCTCCTGATCTGGGACTGAGCATGTGACTTAATGACATCACAGTCCTGGAGGTGTTATGATTTGATTGTTTCTTTCTATTGTTACAATAAACTTTGTTTTATGAGACTGTCTTCTGCTGAATATTTCACTCACAAACTTCTGACTTGTCTCCTGTGCAGTCCAAAGGCCTCATGTGTATAAACACGACTGACATTGAAGTGTTGTGTGTAGTTTTACGAACACACCAGGATGTAAGATAAGAAAAATCTCTATTCATCCCACTGCAGCTACCATAGTCTCGCAGAGTTATTGAATGACTTAAATAAAGTTTGACTTATCTGACTGTTTCGTTTGGCTTAATGCGCTTTATAATCCTGTGCGCCTTAAGTATGAAAATAGACGTGTTCATGGTGTGCCTTATAATCAGGTGCGCCTTATAGTGCGAAAAATACGGTACCTTCAAGGGAAACTCTCACCTGACCTTTAAGTACTGAACTCTTGTTGGGTCTAAAACCTGCAACAAATGACTGAAAACATATAAAGAAGAGAAAGACAATGGTTTCTTACTCGAGGAGAATGGACAGAGATAGTTTCAGTTACAATCTCAAAACCATTCTGAAGGTATTTCCACCCAGTCTCTTTATTTAGGGTTGTCCCTGGTTACACAATGTTACTAAAGGATGGGAGAAAAATATGTGCAGCAACGTAAGCACTCTCATAAAGCATAATTATGAACAACAGAAAATATGTGAGGGTCAAGGCAACATTGTTGACATTAAACAAGCTCCTTCTGATAGGAGCGGATTACTTCCCACGATTCACAGTGGAGGATACATCACACACACACACCTGCTAATAGGAGAAACAAGGTCACAGAGAAGTTAAGAAACATTCATGTGCTGTGTAATAAAGCTATTGGAGAGAGAAGTTAGAAAACACTCTTATATGATGTGTAACAAGAGGTTAAAACAGTCCATACTTGTAGCAAACTCTTACATAAGAATTTGAGTAAGATGATAACTTCTATATACATTTATACACATTATTCTGACAACTCTCCTGCAGTAAAACAGAAAATTTCTACAGTAAAAATGGTTCACTTTGCTAACTCAGTTTTTACCCTCTGAACATGACTTAGATACATGGAGGTGAGATTAGACAGCAGGAATAAAGCAGTATGACTAAAACTAAACACGTCTATAGTCAACATGTGGATCAGTGATAGGTGGACTGACAGCAGCCCCGTTAGATCTTCAGTTTTAAACATCAGGCTGAGGTCTGAGAGGAACAAACGTCTAGTTTTGAGACACTCCACTCATCATGATTTTATCAAACCAACATGTCAGTCTGAAATATTCACAGATGTCTCACATGAATCCTGACCGTGGTTCACAGACATCTACTCTGTCTCATAGCTGACCTGATACTACAGCAGGTGCCTGCTGATGAGTCCAGGTCTAGACTGAGTCAGATCTGGATCTGTCAGGCATTGATGCAGTACGCTGCAGCACTGTTTGAGTCTTCAGAGTCCTCCAGAACTTCAGGCAGGACTCCACTGGACGTCTTTGCCATCCTCACTGTGGTCCTGACGGTCCTGGTCGTCTCATAGTCTATCAGCTGCCTCCAGAACCCAGCATTGGGTCGGATGAATGGCCGCTGCTCCAGAACCAGCTCATAAGCCTGGCGGAGGCTGTGACCCTCGAACCTTCAAGGGCATAATAAAAATATCCAGTAATGTCAAGAAAATGCAATATGTACAATTATAAACTATAAATGAGCAGCTGATAGCAATTATATCAAAGACAAGTTCGGTACACTTTATTTGACGCTTATCTCTATAATGCATTATAAATGTATGTATAATGCGTTATAATCACTTTATAGCACTGTATAACTATAGTTATAAACACTCATAAATGAACATAATGCTTTATAGCAATAATAATAACACATTATAAAGCATTTTATCATGCCTTACAAAGTCAGGTATTATAATGTGTTATAACTGTTAATAGCTTACTGACAATGCACACATATACATATATTTATGATGCGTTATAATTTGCTTATAAACTTGTATAACTATTATTATAATCACTGATTAATTATCAGGATTTATAACAATAAGCATAACACAATATAAAACCTGACCTTGTAAGTCATAATAAAATGCTTCATTATGTGTTATGATTGTTGCTATAAAGCATTACGATCATTTATGAGTGTTTACAACTATACTTATACAGTGCTATGACGTGATTATAATGCATTATACATATATTTATAATGCGTTATAGAGATAGGTGTCAAGTAAAGTGTTACCACAAGTTCTTATCAATCAGGAACATCCCTGCCCATACTTGCTCTCAGAGCCACACGGCTAAGTGGGAAACCACCGCTCTGGTGGTTTTTTCAACCCATCAACCCTGATGGGTTGAAAAAAATCACCTGATCAATGGTGCACATGTGTGTGTGTGTGCGTGAGTGTTTGTGTGTGAGTATGTTTGTGTGGGGGGGTGGGCTATACTTCATCAGGAAGGCCATGATCAAGGTAGGGGATCGGCTCCTGCCAGTGCTGCAGTGAACCAGAGTTGTCCCTGTGTGGTTCTGGTTGATCCGTTCAGCCACCAGGTCGAAGTACTGTCCTAAAGGGGCATGGGGCTGGTCCTGAATGGGGATATGGAGGACCTGCAGACCGTCCAGCTGAGGGTAGGACAAGTCCTCCAGCCCTGAGGCATTAACCACGAGTGTGACCTTCCTGCTGGAGAGGACGCCAGCATTCAGAGCTGAATCCAGACCACAGAGGTACAAACCAGGACGGATCTGTGAGACTGACATGAGCTGCTGCAGGACAGAAAACACAACAGCCTGAGGGCAAAAATGTCCGTGGGTGCATACACACAGTCTTTAGTGTTTTATTATAGACTTCATGTCTACAGGTCCAGGACTCAGAGATGTGATTATATTCAGGGTCTGGATTTGTGTCAGACTCAGAATCCCACAAACCCGAGTCTTAAATCTGATTACTAATATTACACGATTACCCAGCTTTTCTTTTAAACATAAACTGTCTGACACACAAACCAGGTGGTTTACACTGTAGTGTGTTTATGCCTTAATAATCTGAACTAAAAGAGATTCTCTCTTTTGACACAGGGGGATTTGAACCCATACCTCTAGTGGAAACTACAACCTGGACACTGCTCCTAAAACTGCTCAGCCATTCTAACTACATGACAAAATCCCATGAAAAATTCAACAGAACAATGTTTATATCATCAGGACTGTTAGTTTATCTATGATCAATAATCTGACAATGATACCCCACACAGCTGTTTCATGAATTCACATTCAAGGACACCCAGGACATTAAACCAGCTGATCAACACAGACTGAAGTAATCTGTATAAGCACAGAGGCTCAGGACAGAAACCAGCCCGGGCATGTTCAGGACACACACACACACACACACACACACAAACACACACAGTCATTTTACTTTCATTTCTGTCTTCAGGCCGGCAGTCACACACGCGGGCACACAGGTGAGTTTTTCTCTGTTTCTACCTTTAAACCCTGGCAGTTGTTCAATCACATTAGGATACTCAGTTAGTCCAAGTATTTTAGTTCCTAAAGACAAACTCTAAACTTAAGGTTTCTCTGTAAGTTTATTCGGAAAACTGTCGGGCGGGTCTACACCGAACTTCGTTCAGAAATGTCACAATTTAGTGTTATCTTCCTATCGGAAGAGTATTTTGGTCGTTTCCCTTAATTCACAAGTACCCGACGATCGTAAGTGAACAAAATCCATGCAGTATTGACAAGAAAGCTTCCGACAGTCAATCAAACGTCCAACAGCTTCTCTATTTAGTCTGCTGTGTCTGTGTTTTGATGAGCCTTTCTTCGGACATATTTTTAACTGAGTTTGGTACTGAGAATGTACAGTTCAAAAACACTCGGAGAATAACAAAGATGACATTCAAGGGAACAACCTCTCACCTGTTTATTCCTGTTTACTCCTATATATTCCTATTTATTCCTGTTTGTTCCTGTTTACTTCTCCGTGAAACGGGTCTTTAGTAACAAACAAGCTGAAAGGGTTTTCCGGTCGGTATTTTCAAAACAAAAGCACTTGTTTGTGCATTTTGTAGTTACTCCGCCGACCTCAAGCACGAAATTAAAATTATATAAGTAATCGTCAATTTATGGAAGCCCGTTTCCGCCAGTCAAAAAAAAAAAAAAAGTCGAAATTATGAGATAAAAAGTCATAATTATGAGATAAAAAGTCATAATTATGAGATAAAAAGTCGAAATTGTGAGATAAAAAGTCATAATTATGAGATAAAAAGTCATAATTATGAGATAAAAATTCGAAATTATGAGATACTTCTTTAACACAACAGTCAAAGTAGCAGCTCTTTCTGTGAATTCTCCTAAGCAGAAATGGATTGTGAGCACATCGAAGACTACTTTAAATGTGGATTTACAACGAATGAAATTCTCCATTTGCTTGCGGATTTCCATGGGATTGTAATAAGCAAACGCACCTTGGAAAGAATCTTAAGCAAGAAGCAGCTTTGGCGTAGGAAGAACAAAACTGATGTGGCTGAGGTGGCAACCCTCATTGAACAGCAACTGGAAACGTCTGGTCAGTGTCATGGGTACAGATGGATGCACCAAAAATGTTGGTTAAACGGAATTGTGACTGACAGAGAAACAGTTCAAATACTGTTGCAATTATTGGATGGTGAAGGTGTTGACCTGAGGTCAAGAAACAGACTCCGAAGGCGTGTGTACCACAGCTGCGGTCCAAACTATGTCTGGCACATTGATGGCTACGACAAGCTGAAGCCATTTGGAGTTGCAATTAGTGGATGCATTGATGGGTTTTCCAGAAAGATGATATGGCTTGAGGCTTACAAAACAAACAATGACCCAAAGATCATAGCTGGCTACTTTATGGATGCTGTGATCAGTGCCGGAGGATGTCCTGCCAAGCTCAGACTTGATTTAGGGACAGAAAATGGGCACATGGCTGAAATGCAGCGCTTTTTGCATTTTTCCGAAAACCAAGCTGAAACAGACAGTGTAACCTTTGGTCCAAGCACTGGAAACCAGCGGATTGAACGATGGTGGCTGATATTACGAAGTGAGTGTGTCCAGTTTTGGATAGACCTATTTGACAAACTGAGAGAAGATGGCTTCTTCTCAGACAACTTCTTGGACAAGTCCCTGATCCAGTTTTGCTTTCTTCAAACAATACAGGTAAATGCCACATATAATAAAGGATTACCCATTCAGTAAATACATTGTTGTGGGTTGAGGCATTCAAAGTAACTCTGCATCAAATAAGAGGGCCTAATTTAACAATTATCATATGTAATGAATGATATGACATAGTTTGAGAGCCTCTTTTTGATTTCTGGGCTATTCCACCATATTTGATTGCTGTGAAAATATATTTGCAATATTAGTTACACTACATCAAATTACATTTTGGCCTGAATAATAACGGTGTCAACCCACCCGAAGACAAATCTCTAATATATGTAACCAATATGTTTATATATGCTCTGACTGAATGTCATATGCCTCCCAGGAAGAACTTACTGAGGTTGCATTGACCACAGAGTTCGTCAGGTCCACAACTCACGATCACCTCATGGACGTCCCTCCATATTGCATGCAGTCCCTCATCTATACGGAGGCAGAAATTGTTTGCATCATGTGGACCTGGAGAGGGTTCAAGTCTGCCTGGAAGAGTGTGTGTTCAAGGACTTTCCATGTGATGAAGATGTGTTCCATGTCTGTGTGGATTTAATGTCAGAGTATGACCTGAAATTAACAAATGATGTGTTTGAAACAGTTAACCTGTATATCGAACTCAGACGTCTGATAAACACTGAACTGGATCTAGATCATTGACTTACCTGGTCCTGTGTCACAATTTATATTTCAACTGTTTAACTGCAGTACAAATTGAAACTTATATGTGTTTCGACTGTCAAAATTATGTTTTAACCTGTGATGATAAAATATATGTTATTTCAGACAAATCAAAGAGGTACCAAATAAAGACATTAGTCTTTCTAACAAAAAACACAGTACTAAGTGCTTTGTCATTCCTGTATTCACTATTTCTGAGAAGGAAATTTCACACACGTATTAACTGTTGTTTTATTTCATTAAAACATTTAAAACATTAACAACATACCAAACTGCATGTGCTTTTCCTTTCAGCTGTAATTTCATTCAACTTGCTACAGCAGGGATCCTTTAGGCTTCCAATGTGGAATTAAAAAAAGAAAAAGTAACTTGTAACAAGATTGGACTATTATGTAACATTTACTTGAAACAAGCAAAAAAAAAAACTATCTTTTAAATGACAGCATTTTAAATAACATAAGTGCAGTAATAATGATTTATGAAAACAGAAATAACCGAAATATTCCTGTTGATATTAATGCTTTTAACTTTAGAATAACTGTACATAATTACTGCTTATCAACATAATAATGACGAGTAATAAAAAAAATGTTACTACAAATATATCAAACATAAGTCAGCAGCCCCACTATATTTGCAACAAAAACAATGCTTAACAAAGCAAGAGGGGCAAAAAACGCAACAAAAATGTGGACAGCATGTTAAAGCTGTGACACTCAGTAAGGTTACAAGGGAACAGAAGTATTTCATTCATAAACCCAAGCTGTGAAAAACCTAGTCCTAAAAAGACTACACATGGACCTCTGATGGCAGTTCAGTTCCTGTTGGCTAAAATCTTTGTTTCTTTCAAAGACTTTGTTCATTTCATGACGAAAATCTGGGTAGTTGTCATAACTGACTGGCAACTCCAAGTAACAGCCGCATGTATGAGCAATAGGTCTTCTCTGAAATCCCTGAACTTGTGTAAAGCTGACACTGATGCTCTTTCCTGTAAACAAGTCTGATCCAGTGCAAAATCTGAGGAAAGAGGAGAGATGATGGGTGTCTGACTCTCTAAGGTATGCACTTAGATACTTAACAATTTGTTTCTCCTGGGCATTCTGGGTACTTGGGTAAGTAATTGATTTCATGATCTTTCGTGATGTCGGTTGCAGGTCTTCATAGATAGCTGCAATCCCTTTCAGCTCTGATCTAACAGGTGCCAGCATGTTGCTCCACTGTTCAATCACAAAAGCTGGCTCTTGAATCAGTTTTTGGTGAGCAAGCTCCCTCAAGATTTGCTCAATGTTATCTGCTGTTGGAAGCCTCCGGCAGTTGTGAATGTCCATGATTTCCAATAATTCTTCATGGTCAACACTTTCAAAAGCTGAACGACAAGATCCAAAGATGACTCGCTCAGATTCTGACACGTACTTGATAAAGGTATCTACAAGATCACTCTCCACAGTGCCCAAAATAGCTTGCTCCAGAAGCACAGGTGCAAGTTTTACAGGAAGGTACTTCTCTCTTTGCCAGTCAAATGTGATTATTCTGCCTACACTTTCCCATTCTTCTTTTCCAAAATCATGACGTAGGTATGGCACTTTGAAGGCATTTCCCAGAGTGCACTGCTCATAAAAGTCATTCCAAAATTCTGACAGAACATCCCTCAAAACACCTCCATCATCCACAGCCTGTTCAAGCTTTCCATCAGGAAAAATAACTTTAAAGAAAATGTCATCCTCCATGACACTTTCCTCAGAAAACACTTGAATAAGTTCTCTAAGAATCTGACCACGATGAAGAACAATAATTTTCTTCACTCTTTCTCCCTGGCTGGCTTGTTCCTGTAACATATCTATGGAGGGAGTCATGGATGACTCAAAAGACAGGTCCTGAGAGAGAGGCAAGGTATCATCAAGACTGGAGTACTCCATCCCAGAGACGCTTTCTGTGTGGAAAGTTACGATGCCACTATCCTCTAAAGCATCCACATGAAGTAATGTTCCATGTTCTGGAAAACTAGATGCATCTATTTGGTTAGCTGTGGTATAAAGAAGGGAAACCCTCTCACTGCTTGCATTTGCAGATATTGTGCTGCTTCCAACATAAATGACATCTGTAGTATTTTGCTCCACAGCATCTGTGGCAGAAGTGTCTGAAAAGTAACAATAGTTATCAGGTTCATCATGTGTCTTTTCAACTTGTGCAGTTGTATCACTATTCTCCTCACTGGTAATATCTCTCTTCTTCGTTTTTAAATAAAAACGTAAGAGTGGTAACTTTGTCTTGTCATACAGTTCACCGACTGTGATAGTGTCCTCTAATGGATGTTGCTGAAAATCAGTTATATCAATCTCAAAATCAGTCAGGCTCCCCTCTGCATTTTTTCCACCTGGGAAAAACAACTGACCAGCTTTTTCAATCAAGCCCTGTTTTTTCGTGTCCTTTGAGACACTCTCTCTCCTGGTTCCCCCTCCCTTTTTGGTGCGTACCTGGACAAATTCCCCTTCTCTGTAATGTATCCATCCTAGTTCAATTTTTCTTTCACTTTTCTGAGCATTCCCTGTAGGGCTCTGATGCTCTCTCACAGACACCTGATCACCTTTGTGTCGTGACAGCTTTCCTCTAAGTCGCTCAAAAATCTTGGACTTTCGATTGCTTGGTTCTCTTTGCTTTCTTCTGGAGTATCCAAAAACAGCTAGTCGATCACCGTAGGATGGGAGATACTCTTTTAGCTGGTCATCTGTCATGAAGGGTATGACACTGGAATCAATCTAAAAAGAAGAAATATTTCATGAATTCTTCAGTCAAGTCCATTAAATCACAACAATCAAAAAAATGTATACACAGCACCACATATTAACTACAAAGCTCTTCCAAACTATGAATTTTTTAGTGTTGGTGTGATTTGTACAAGAACTTCCTATGTTAACTACCTTCTCCTGTTCCATTCGCTGTATGTTTTCCTCAGGCACATGGCGTGACCTTAAGTAGTCACTTAGCTCATCCATCTTGTTACAGATAGAAAACCTCTGTTGAATAAAATAAGAATTAAAATGTGAAATAAAAAAAAACACAATACATATTTAGTTGATTTCACAGAATTTGTTTGCAATTTTGATATTCAAGCAATGTTCATGTTTAAATCCACTCTGTTCCAAGAAGAAAGGGATAATTACTTTACTTTATAAAGTGTTATCTTTCTATTAATATCTTGATTAAGTCTCTTGGTTTTCTGATTTAGAAAAGCTGTCCTCTGATATTTTCACAAATTCAATACATTCAATACTTTTTATCTGATTATCTAGTAGACCTAACATCTTGTTACATCCTCACTATACAGTTCTCCATTTTCAGGTCGCATATTTTGACTTATTATAACGGTCTCATTGGCTTTTCCATCTTTCATGCACATAAGTTACCCATTAGACAGAAATTTTTTGCCAGTCGTTAACTAAACCCGGTCACTGAGACAAACAGTCACTAATGGAAGTCGTGCATTTATACAGTAAGGTATTTGCATACTGTTTTTATAGCAACCTTACTGCTGTCATGCCATTAACAGCAAAAACACACGACCATTACGACCAAAATGTTCCTTTCACAAACGTGAGGAATAGACGGAGAGTGACGTGCAGTTCTTCATGCTAGCTGTTGCACCGAGGATACAATACAGGTGCTCAACAGTCCTATGGCATTAGCATCGTTTCTCAGAATCGTTAGCTAAACTGGAAAATGACAACTCAGTGCACAGTGTACAATTTTCGCATGACTTTTCAACATGCTGGAGAACACAGCGTTACATGTAAAACTAGCTCTGATAACACTTACCAACTCTTAACAAAGACCTTTGTGGAGACTTTTGTAGCCGACTCTAAGTAACATAATGCAACTCACAGGTAGAAAGTATGGACACTGTTCCTGTCTCAGTGTCACCATCTAGTGGCATAAACGTTACTTCAAAACGATGATTCACTGACAGCAGAAAGATATTGTCAAAATAACGTTGTAATTTGTTAAGCAGCACGGACGGACTGATTAAATGAATAGTAATATCTAATATCTATCAAAGACACCTATAATACTTACCTAATTTACTGATGAGTATCGTTTGCATGGTGCGTCCAGTGAGGTGAAGTGAGACCTTGAAGACGGCGCCATAAAACATGCACACTTACTATCTCATCATTTCGATTTTTTAATCTTTTTATCTCATAATTATGACTTTTTAATCTCATAATTATGACTTTTTATCTCATAATTTCGACTTTTTTTTTTTTTTTGACTGGCAGAAACGGGCTTCCATATCAATTGTTTATCTTGTTTTTACCAAGATAATGTTATGTGTTAAACAATGTGACTGGTGACCAAAAGACTAATCGATCTAACCTAAGACTTACCATTAAAGAGTTTTAGACTGACTCTGTTACAGTTAATTATGTGCAAAAACTGGATCCGTTTGTCCTCAGCTCCATTAAGGTTGCTGGAGGAGGAAGGATTTATGGCCTGTGCTACAGCTCATCATCAGAGGGTGCTGTTCTAGCGGAGGCTTCATCCAGGGAGGAGGCAGACGATGTCCATACAGTCTATTGTCACAATCAATAGGAGGCACTTCCGGTTGGCAGCAGGCAGGCGAGCATGATACCGTGAATGCTCCTCACAAATCTCCACAAATGTCTCTAAAAGTTAAGTTTAAACGAGAAACTATGTAGGCTTAAAATAACACGTATATGTGGGATGAATCTGCGATCTGGTGCGGCCACTAAAGTCTGTATTGCCAAAAAGAAAACAAAGAAGAAAGACGCGACAAACATCTCAAACAAAGGAGGTTTTCAGTCACGTGATCCTGACTTCGCGTGAGGACCAAATGGAGGGCAGGAAGCGACCAACTGCAATGGAGGAGATGTGCCGGTTTTTAGCCTTAGATGGAGTTTACCACCCGCTTTGGGCTGCATTCCCAAACAACCCCACTCCGAGAAGTTCGGACCCCGGCTCAACAGGGGCCGCTACCGGCCTCACACCGTCCACAGGATTCGGCGCTGGGCTCTTCGTTTGCCGCTGAATTTAAGCATATTACTAAGCGGAGGAAAAGAAACTAACCAGGATTCCCTCAGTAGCGGCGAGCGAAGAGACTCTCAAATTTGACACCTTAACCTTAAGGGTACCTTAGAAGATCATGAGAACTCAACTCAAGAGTGCATCATAAGCATTCATCTGTGAAACAGACCACAGCCATAAATCTTCAGAGTGGCTGTGTTTCCTGTGACTCTCTTTAGGTGCAGAATAAAGAGAAGAACTGCAAATGATTCAATTTCAGGTTTAATGGACACTTCACCAGGATTTTCCATCTGTACACCAGGGATCCGTTTCACGTAGGTGGTTCAACAAACTCTGAGTCAAATCCTTAACTCTGAGTTGATCTACTCTGAGATAGGAAACTCTGAGTTTCCGGTTTCACAACACCTGATTTGAGTCGGTTTTAGCAACTCCGAGTAGTTTCACCTGGAGTTAAGCACGTGCACGCCAGACATAAACAGCCAGCATCTGTGGAGCCCAGATTCATTGATCAACCAATGGAAACAGGGAGACGGAGGGGGCAGCTGCAAGCCAACGGCGAATTACAGCCCGTTTTTAAAAGAAAGTGCAATACAGCAGCAGCTGCAAAGGAGAGGGAGAGGGCTTGGGAGGAAATTGCTGCTCGCGTCAATGCGTAACTTTAAATCTAGTCTTGTGCAATCACAATGACAGACTGTTGCAGGGGAAACTGCTTGCATGGAGCAAATGAATTTATTGCTGGTGTATGAGTTTCCCATCTCCACTGTGGAAGGGTTTGAGAGGAGGGTCAGCAGCCGCCTGCGACGATGGTTGGGTCTGCCTAGAAGCCTAAGCAGCATCGCCCTTTACGGCAACAAGAACAAGCTGACTCTCCCCATAAACAGCCTCACCGAGGAGTTCATGGTTGCCAGAGCGAGGGAGGTTCTCCAGTACAGGGAATCCAAGGACCCAAAGGTTTCCCAAGCAGGAATTGAGGTGAGGACTGGCAGAAAGTGGAGAGCGAAGGAGGCTGTGAACCAGGCAGAATCACGGCTGTGCCACAGAGACCTCGTGGGATCGGTGGCTGCCGGCCGTGCAGGACTGGGAACCACTTCCAACAACCCGGTACAACAAGCTCAAGGGCAAGGAGAGGCGGGACCAGGTCCAGCTCGAGGTGAGGGCCGGAATTGAAGAGCAGCGTGCAAGCCAGTGGGTGGGATTGAGGCAACAGGGCGCGTGGACCAGATGGGAGGAAGCCACAGACAGAAAAATCTCGTTGAACGAGCTGTGGAGGGCTGAACCCCTCCGCATTAAATTCCTCATTCAGTCTGTCTATGATGTCCTGCCCAGCCCATCGAACCTCTTCTGTTGGGGCAAGGTTGAAACTCCAGCATGTTCCTTGTGCCAAGGAAGAGGAACCCTGGAGCACATCCTCAGCAGCTGTCCTAAAGCACTTGGTGAAGGCCGCTATCGCTGGCGCCATGATCGTGTGCTGAAGGCGGTTGCTGAGTCCATCAACACTGCCATCTTCCAGAGCAAACGCTTACAACCATCAAGGCGTGAAATCTCCTTTGTAAGAGCCGGAGATCAACCACCTCCCCGACCTAAAGCCCAGTCAGGCCTCCTGGGAACAGCGAAGGACTGGCAGCTAAGGGTGGACCTGGGAAAACAACTGAAATTCCCTGAAAACATTGTGGAAACCAGACTTAGGCCAGACATCGTCCTATTCTCAGAGACATCCAAGCAAGTCATCATGTTGGAGCTAACAGTGCTGTGGGAGGAGAGAATGGAAGAAGCAAGTGAGAGAAAGAGAGAGAAATATGCAGAGCTGGTGGAGGAGTGCCGCAAACGGGGGTGGCGTGCACGATGCCTACCGATTGAGGTGGGGGGAAGAGGCTTTGCAGGGAAATCACTCTGCAAGGCCTACAGTCTCCTGGGCATCACAGGGGCACGGAAGAGGAGAGCCATCTCTACAGCCTCTGAGGCTGCAGAGAGAGCCTCGCAATGGCTGTGGATCCAGAGGGATAAGCAGTGGTTGAGTGCTTCTTGGACACGGGCCGGGAACTGATCACCCCGGTCGGGTCACCTGAGTGAGGGGGTCTGAAGTTGAAAGACCCGAAACCCCCGATGAGCTCAGGCACTATCACTGAGGATGTGTCCAAGAAAAGCATCACTAGATGTATGTAAGAATCATTATGTAGGTGCAATCCAGCGGGACAAAAGCGCACTTGGCAGCAGCTGAAAATTAAATATAAAAACATTGTGCAAACAGGTGAGACATCTGCATTTTCTCATTTTGATCATGTTTTACATTGTCAAGTAAGTATTAAGTGGCAGTTTGATCCCTTACAAAATGCTCTTTTCACACTCAAAAATGAATTTTACTCTCTTATGATGTTCTGTTAAATGATTATGAATATTAAACTAACTCTCAGTATGTATATGTACATATATTAAACTAACACACACTACACTCAATATTAGACTTTCACTCAGCAAACAGAAAGAGGGCAGATGCCAGAAAAACGGGTGGTGGCCCAGCATCATAAGAGAATAAAATTCATTTTTGAGTGTGAAAAGAGCATTTTTTAAGGGATCAAACTGCCACTTAATACTAACTTGACAATGTAAAACATGATCAAAATGAGAAAATGCCAATCTCTCACCTGAAACTCTGGGTTTACTGAGTAAAACCTGGGGCCTGTTCTATGAAGCAGGATTACTGCTTATCGAGGTAACTTCGAGGATAACATACGCTGAACGGCTAACCTGCTCCGGGGCAGGTTAAGTTCCAGATTGAACTCACCGAGTATAAAAACCCCGCCCACTGACCAATGAGCTCTCTCGAAAAACGGCTTGTCCGTTCTTGGAGGATCCTATAGACCTCGGTGCTCACATTGTACGAGGAGGAGCACTCCGGCGTGCGAGAGTTTACAGGGACCACATGGACTCACTTACTTTTCCGGATGACCACCTTTATGAAAGGCTCATATGGCGGACATATCACACAAAAAATGTAAACACGATAGGAATGAACAAATGAGTGAATTCATCTTGGAAATGAATGGGCATGAGCTGCATGGGCTGTGTGATCACAGACAACATCTCAGTACTATTTAGTAGCAGCGCACGCCCCTTATAATAACCCCCGTAAATACTGTTGTTCAGGACTGCTTACTTGTGCTTCCTACCTACTGTAATAACCGTTGTTCTAGCCCACATGCAACATTTTTGTTCTCATTCATGAAACGCTTAAATCGGGGACATTTTCGGGGACAGCTTTAGCCGGGGCCAGATCATCCAATTCGGGGACTGTCACTTTAGTTAAAAGCGCATGTTGAACAGTGCTATTTCAGGGTGATAATGGCATCAAAGATGCATTTTCTGCCAGCATTCCCTCCGTGCTTTTGCAGCGGCGACGGTGTTGCTTTTGAGGTTTATGATAGCTTTGAATTCTTCATACTTTCTCATGATCATCTCCTGCTCCTCGTTTGCAAAGTACGCAGTCCTTCACTCTCTAGCCTGCTCTGACGCTCCAGACTGATCCATGTTCGCGATTGGTCAGATGCGGCGGGCTCCGCCTTATATGTGTGCACGCGCTCATAGCAAAGCTGGATCCACTTATGAGGTTGTTAACCAGCGTCGTAAAACCGCTTAGCGAGACCGCTGGCTACCGCGCTAAGTTGAGCGAGGTAGCTCCAAAGCTTCCTCGCTAGGTTGAACTTGCTTCGTAGAACAGGCTCCTGGTCCCGACCAGGGGCCTGTTCTACGAAGCAGGATTACTGCTTAGCGAGATAACTTCGGGGATAAGTTCGGGGTTTCCTGTTCTACGACGCGGGTTCACTTCTTAGCGAGGCGAGTCTCCATGGCAACATACGCTGAACGGCTAACCTGCTCCGGGGCAGGTTAAGTTCCAGATTGAACTCACCGAGCATAAAAACCCCGCCCACTGATCAATGAGCTCTCTCGAAAAACGGCTTGTCCGCTCTCGGAGGATCCTGTAGACCTCGGTGCTCGCATTGTCCGAGGAGGAGCACTCCGGCGCGTGAGAGTTTACAAGGACTGCACGGACCCATTTACTTCTCCGGATGACCACCTTTATGAAAGGCTCATATGGCCGACATATCACACCAAAAATGTAAACATGATAGGAATTAACAAATGAATGACTTCATCTTGGAAATGAATGGGCATGGGCTGCGTGATCACAGACAACATCTCGGTACTATTTAGTAGCAGCGCACGCCCTTTTTAATAACCCCCGTAAATACTGTTGTTCAGGACTGCTTACTTGTGCTTCCTACCTACTGTAATAACAGTTGTTCTAGCCCACATGCAACATTTTTGTTCTCATTCATGAAACGCTTAAATCGGGGACATTTTTGGGGACAGTTTTAGACGGGGACAGATCATCCAATTCGGAGACTGTACCCGGAAATCGGGGACGTCTGGTCACCTTAGTTAAAAACGCATGTTGAACAATGCTATTTCAGGGTGATAAAGGCATCAAAGATTAATTTTCTGCCTTCCGTGCTTTTGTAGCAGCGACGGTGTTGCTTTTGAGGTTTGTGATAGCTTTGAATTCCTTATACTTTCTCATGATCGTCTCCTGCTCCTCGTTTGTAAAGTCTGCGTTTGTAAAGTTGAGCGAGGTAGCTCCAAGGCTACCTCGCTAGGTCGAACTTGCTTCGTAGAACAGGCCCCAGGTTAGGTTCACAGAGTCTGTTACTATGTTAACTGATCGCGAGGTTGAGTTACCTCTCTTTGTGAAACAGGTTAGAGTTACCCCTCTCTCCCTGGTTTAACTGACCCTCCTTTGTGAAAAGGAAAACTCAGAGTTTCCCTGATTTCAGGGTTAACGGACTCTGAGTTTCCATTAAACCTGCTACGTGAAACGGACCCCAGATCGGCAGTGAAACAGTCTTTGTCCTATTTGTTTAGCATGTTTATAAGCCAAACTGCTAACTTCACAAATTTATTCCAGGTTTTCGATGGACCAAGAGCTCCCCCTAGTGATGTCTTCCGAATATGATTTTGGTCATTCCTTTATTTAATTATGTTGCATGATTATATACTTTGTAGCTTAGTGAATGGTCTTCCCGAAATAGGTTAGCAATATTAGAAGTAGTAACTGAAAACTCTTTTATACGAGTTAAGAATGTTTTGATCGTTTTAACGCTATGCCTGTCTACCTCATCAGAATATATGTCTTAATCATTTACTAAGTACAGATTGACAAGGTTATATTCCAATTGAGTGTTATCACATATGTGTTTCTTATGCGTGATGTTATGTTATGGTTTGATGCCTCTGCTCATAAGAAACTATGAAGTGAAACTATATCATATGTGATTTGATAAACAGCATTAAACATAGTGAGTGAGTACATTAGACCCAACTCGCTTATTAATCCCGCAAGTTAAAATCAATTCTCTTGCCAGCCTGATCAGCCCCTGCTGTGAACAATGAATGGGTGCACGAGCTCCCCCTCCTTTCGTTCACGCCTCACATCAAATGGGTTAAAAGTGCTGAGCTGACTCTTTTCGCTTTTTTACCATCTTTGCTCTCATCGTCTTTTTGTCTCGTGTGTTTTTGTCTTCGTCCATGGTCTTGTAACTTTTCCCGTGTTTTTTTTTTAATTCGCTTTAAGTTCAGACTTTTCCAGAAACTTGGATGACCCCATACCCAAGTTCCTTTAAAACATTAGTAATCAGCTGCGCGCATAGAGTACCAAAGTCTTAGTCTTTTATTTTGTTTAGTTCGCTAAAGTGACTCCTGAGAATAATATCGGCTGGCCAGTGAAATTATTTTCTTAAGTTATTATCGCGAATTGATCTGCAGTAAAGCTAATCCTGAACGCCCGGAGGACCGACCTGCATCATCTGCCGAGCTGCGTTTGCCATAAGATTCCGGAAGGAGAGCGCTGTGGGACCCACAGGGCGCATTTGGCGTGCATTTGGGTGTGACGACAGAGACACCGTTCGGCCTGCTGCTAGCCGCCCTGCAAAGACTATGTTATCAACTAGCATTTGTCAATAAATTGTCAATAAATTGTCCATTGAATTTTAAGTTGTAGTCTCTTAGTGGTCAATATCCAGGAGTGAAGTCCCTGAAATGAAAATTCCGGCCTCAGATGTGAGATTGATTTAAATCTGTTTAAGACCGATTCAACGTTTGATTATTCAATTGAACTTTGTTTTGTCTTTTTCCCACCAGAAAGGTGGGTGGTGCCCCTTCAACAAGTGCATAAATGTCATAATTGAAGATTATTACTCTTCATTTCATTTATTATAAATTCAAATCGCAACATAATTATAGTCAAAATGTCTTCTGATAAGTTACTCTTTACACAATAGTCATGTTTATTGTGTTGCAAAGTATATTAATGAAACTATGATCTTTTTTTGTACATGAACCATAACACTTTAGAAAGATAAACTTAAAGAAGTGAGCTCCTGACGCAGTCACGGCCTCTTTTCTGGTGATGTCATTTAAATGCTTTTCCCGAAGTAAGCATACAGACATTTGACAGTGATGGTACTATGGTTCCATAAATGTGACAGTTGTTTTTGTCACAGCAGTACAGCATTTGGCCATCAGATGGGGACTGACCACTGAGCAGGTCTAAGCCGCACAACAAAGATCCACAAGAGGGTGCTTGGATCATAAATAATTTTTTTGCGCTGCTTTTTACCTTTTAAAAGGTAGTTATTTTCAGCCACGTTTTTCCTGTATCAATGACATAATCATTAAGGAATTAAGGCAAAATTCTGAATAAAAATTCTCGCTTTTTTCTGTATAAACAAAATTATCTCATAAATGTATGTTAATCTGTTGGCTGTTCATCAAGGTTAATAAGCAGATATACGCAAACATACACATTAAGCAGCAGCAGAACAACAAGTCTGAAACTGGAGCTTTTTTTATTAGAATTACACGTCACCTCTCACAGCATTAATATACTTCATTAATTATATAGACTGTCAATATGATTTATAAAAAGGCTGAGCAGGAAAGCCTTTACTCTGCTATTCTTGGAATAAGATTGGTTTTGATAAATAGTGTGACTGGAGGACATTTACTTGTGAAAAAGTTATTTTATTTTGTGTATATGTTACTTCAGTTTGTTGAAATACACCACAACACTGAACTCATTGTCTCAGTGTTTGAATGTGACGTTGGGTCGGTTTTTTAGGACTGACCAGGTTCTTCCTGACGAGTTTGGACTGTTCGGATCTCCACCTGAGTTTCTGCTGTACTGAGCTGTTTCATACAGGTCTGACAGGTTAGACTCTAATCCAGTATCCTTTCCATGTTTTCATGTGGACTTCAGGAAAATGCAGAACCAGAACACAGACCGGATCATCCCCAAGGTCCGATACCACCCCACCATCCAGATGCCTGGAAACAAAGGGCAAATCAAGACCCCTCAGACTCAGAAGGCCAGACCGTCACCTGTGCGAACCCCCCAGACTCGAATCAAGGTGGTCCATCAGATCCTACAAGTAGATCCATCTGTAAGACCATGTCTTGTTCCTAACAGTGGGCCAAAACCTGCAAACACACCGGACCAGAAATCAGTTCAGAGATCAGACACTAATCCTCCTCTAATGCCAGCCCAGGTCTTGGGTGAAGCCTCGTTCACTCCTGATCAGATCCCTGTGGGTGTGGAAGTCCAGTTGGACAGGCGTGTAGTTGAGGAAGTGGAGTCTCTGACCCGAGGACAAAGAACCAATCAGAAGTGGTTCAACTGGAGGAAGAACCGGATCACGGCCTCTGTGGCTCATCGCATTGCTCACTGCCGCTTCGTTAACGGCAGAAGCAAAACCCCGCCCATCTCCTACATAGATGACATCGCAGGTAGGCCTCAATAAAGCAATGCAAAAATAGCACTAAAAACAGAAAAACACAAAAGATTGTAGTTTATTTTAGAGTAATAGAGTAGTTGATTATTGTAGCTGATGTCTAGGTTTATTTGACCTTACAGAATATGTAATGATGGTTATTCTGACTGGTAGAAGCAAGGAGGGGTTTAAAATTGGTTATTCTGTGCCACAGGTGAGAGGCGGCGAATCCAGACACGAGCCATGACCTGGGGGATTAACAGGGAGGCTGAGGTGGTCCGAAAATATCAGGCAGGAGTCATTAACAATAATAATGTGAATGTGTGATCATAGAGGTGCGGCTTAATGAAGACTGCAGTGTTTCCCCTACATTCTTGCACCGCTTCTGAAATTTCAAATGATCATTAATATCAATGCGCCACTAATGTTTTCTACTCGCACTGTGTGAGCACAACAACACACGGCGTTATTTTCAACTTGTTTTGAGTCATCAACGAGCAGATCAAATCATGTTGAACCCTCTTCCATAACGTTCAAGCTTATACACGGTCTATATGGCGAGTAGCGCAGGTAATGTAATGTGGCCACGCCGTTTGACCTATACACGATTTCTGACATAATTTTTCTTAAGGTCTCTCCTAAAAACTGGAGGAAATATAACATAAAATTGTAAATGTTTTGCTTTGGAGGCCGCCATTTGTTGGTGCTTGCAAAAAGCCATATTTGTGTTTCCGGTGGGCACTGTTGCTGTATTTGCCTTTGCTACCAGGTGGCACTACAATGCCCACTGCTTGCAGTGTTGGCTCAGACCCTAAATAATTCCGAGCATCTCAGTAGGGCTTTTACCTGCTGCCTTCACCATTGGATCGACCCCTTAATAATTCCTAGCATCTCAATAGGATAATTACATTTGTAATGCTAATGATAATGACTGTGGTTAAGATTATGATGATAATGAAGAAGATAATGACCATGGTTAAGATATGGTGATAATAATAAAAATGATGATGATGATTATTATGAAAAAGATAATGATAATGAAGAAGATATTGATGACTATGACAATGATAATGGTTATAACAATGTTAATGAAGACGATAATGACGATCATGAAAGTGATAATAATGAGAAACATAATAATGATAACAATAATCAAGAAGATAATGATGATGTTGATAATGTTGTCTTGCAGGGACTGAAGAGCGCTGAGTTGGGTCGGTCCGTCACAGTGAGGGACTGTGGTTTGTTCATTGACTCACAGCGTTCCTGGTTGGCTGCAACTCCTGATGGCATCGTGATGGACAGCCTAACCGGCCAATGGCTGATTTGCCTAGAGGTGAAGTGTCCCTACAAACACAGGAACAGCCGGGTGGAGGACGCCTGCAGAGAAGACAAAGCCTTCTGTCTGGAAATACAAGATGAGGATAGAGTTGGGCAGAAGCCTGTTGGGGTAAACTTATCCCATCCTCTTCACCCTCCTTGTCTAAATGTCCTCTGTGTTCGATTTTCCCCTTCTGTCCTTTTTGAGTTTTCCTCGTATATATGTATCTCTGTGGTACACTTGTTGTCCAAAGTTGTCCACACCTCATTGTTATTGTTACTGTTATTCTCCCCTTTCCTTTTAATTATTATTATTATTCCGTACCTTTTTTTGCCCTTTTCAACTCCTTCCCACTTTGTGCTATTTTAACCATTCAAACTTTTTACTAATGCATTCCTTCAGGACATGATTGCTATTACCTTTACTTTTCTACCATTTATACTTTTTGCAATATTTCACTTTTTTTTTGCAAAATTTTGACCATTAGAAATGAATGGAGAAATTATTTGTTTCTTCATTCCAATTCATAACCAAAATATGGTTGGATGCTGCAGACTGCAGAAATCTGTTTTAGTTTTTGTACATTTAATGGGAAAATTGTTACACATTATTCTAAGGCATTTGTTTTTCAAATTCAATTGTCCTTATTATCAGTTCTGTTTATTCACATAAGTCATATACTATTTTCACTTTAGCTATTATACAATTTACCTTCAGCCATACTACAATTCTTCCATTCATACCATTTCTTCTTCTTCTACGCCACCTTTTCAACAGTTTTTCCATACATACCTTCCTCCGTTTTTTTTAGCAGTTTAGCATTGCTTTTTTCAGCTTTCAGCACTCAGCATTTCCACGCATTTTCTGCAAGGAAATGCAATTTTTGTAGTCTTGCCTTGTCCTTTCTGTCCTGTCTGCTAACTTTGTGCTATCCTCATCTTTCTGTTCTTCGCAGTTCATCTGTCCTCATTTCTTACACTCCCATCATGTCCATTTGTCCCACTTATCACCTCATTACCTGTACCTTAAATGTTTCCTGTCTCCTCTTGTCTCTGATGTCCTGTTCTTGTCTTCCAGTCCCCTGTCTACTGTCTGAAGAAGTCGCACAGTTACTACACTCAGATCCAGTGCCAGCTGGCGGTGACGGGGCTGCAGCAGGCTGACCTTGTTGTTTACACCCTGAAGGAGACAGCCATTGTCCCTGTAACCTTTGACCCTGATCTTTGGGAGGAGACGGTGTCCAAATTGGAGGTGTTTTACAGGAAGGCCTTCCTTCCACTCCTCAGAGAGAAGACGCAGAAGAGACCGGCAGTGGCCGTAAGACCAGAGTTGTAGAGGAGTCATAGGTACGGTCCCCAGCTGTAGTGGCCTCTGACCTCTGTGGACAAGTGGGTGGTATCAGCTGCTGCTCCTCAGAGCGATTCATGTCCATGCGGCCTGTTTTAATGTTAGTTTTGATGTTTTATAGGAGGAATTCAATCAGGACCCCATTCAGCTCACTGAGGTTGTTGTTGTAACCCTCACCCTGTAACAAACTCCTCTTGCTGTTGTTTACATCAGTGTGTGTTTGGCATCATGTGGGGACTGCTGTTACATCATTAAATATTGATAACTTTGATTCGTAGACATGGTTTTCTTGTTCTTTTTTCTGCCGCTCCTGATTTCTCTGAGCGTCTTTAAATACACATAGACAGGTGGAGGGATTAAATCTCAGCTTAGAGACGAATAACTGACCTCCTGATCCACCTTGATCCAGACTTTGGGGAGGTCTGAAAGCACAGTCAGTTTTGTGAAAGACATGTATGGTATGCAGCAAAACAATGCACAGGAGACAGGAAGAGATCTTGGCGCTTGCCGTGAGCCTGCTTATTTATATACTAATTTATTCTTTTGCATTAATGTATTTCTGCTCGCTTTATCTTGTTCTTTGATTTTGTTTTTACGTGTCATTGTACAGCACTTTGGCTACCCTAGTGGTTCTTTTAAATGTGCTTTAGAAATAAAGTTGATTGATTGATTGATTGATTGATTGATTGATTGATTGAAGAGCAGCCTTGGTGTCTTTATTATACAGATGTAGAAATCAGTACAGATGTAACAGACCAAGACCACCAGAGGAAGCCCCAAATGCTCCTCTGGCCAACTTTTACACTGCTTAGTGTGTGTCTAAACATAATAGGTGTGTGTTACACTGTGTATTACAAATGTGCACCTCTTATGTGTGTGTACATGCATGAGTCCCTTCAATGTGTGTTGCAAGTGCAAGTTGTTTCCTGCCTGATATCTGACCCTCTGAGAGGCTGTCCAAGGACATGTCTGAGTGTCCTGAAATTTAACAGGACATTAGTATTGTTGGAAAACAAACTTCACTTTCCTGGCAGTCATTAAGATCAGCTTGACTCTTTAGGCAAACTGAGATAAGTTTAAGGTTTTGCAAAACAGCTTGCTTACACAATCTCACAGTTGTGAGGCCATGTAAGCAAGGCCATCCCAGCCTGTTATAAACCACTAATATACACATAATTTCTCCTTCATTAGTAGGGCGAAAGAGATGAATCAGACACCAAATATGTTATAAGCCTTCACTGTTCAGCACAGTGACCCTGCTGTGACTGGAGGTGACTGGATAAGCAGACCAGAAACTGAACAGCAATCCCAGCCCAGGAACAGAAAGCAGAGCTAGTTTGGAGGGACATTTGAGGTCAGCTGAATCCAGGTAGTAAAGATCACGGCTCAGTTTCCCATACAGGGCTTAAATAAAACCAGGATAAAACTAATCTGGTTTAACTTAATCCACAAATTGCTGTCTGAGATGTTTTTTAATTTGAGATTTACTAGTTCCAGATTACAGAGTCCTAGACTAAGGTAATCAAGGACCAGTCAGATCATGCATTTGAGGCAGAATCAGATTAACTATGTGCACATAGTACAAAGGTAAACATGCTCTGAAAACCTGGGGTGGAATATTTCTAGGATAAATTTTAGCTGTGTGTGTGGAATAGGAGTTTGACCAATGATCAAGCATGGGGAAAGGGGAAAAGAAGGCGTTCCAAAAACTTTAGTGAAAGTGAGAAGAAGCTTTTGAATGAAATTATTATAAAGTACCCTGCAACTTAATATAAACATCATGATTCAGCAGCAGACATGAAAAAAATGAAATGCATGGACAGTAGGGATGGAACAATGCGTTGTGAGACAGTTAAAAATCGATACAAATGTGTAACAATTCAAATCTGGTGAAATGAAAAATGATTTGCAGTGCCCTTTATAAACAGCGGAGGGTGTGTTCACACGAGTAACGTCATTATGTGTTCGGCGTGTATCTCTGGCCCAATCCCAAACCTACCCTTTTTGGCCCCAAGTATTAACTTTTGAAGTCTCTCTTTGCTGACAGTTCACTGACCAATATTGTCTCTAAATTTATTTCATACCATTTTTACTTAAACTTCTACTTATTTCTGTTAACATGATCAGTCAGCCATCAATTGCTCTGCTTTCATTATTGATCACTACTGACAAAAGTGATAACAGTTTACCACTAGAGGAGGCACCATGGCTGTGTCTCATTTCAGAGACCGAGTGCCACACAGGTCATGAACAGGAATCCACTTCAGGTTCTGTCTTTGGCCAAAGGCAACCCACAACTGCTGCAGACCGAGGTTCTGAAGTGCCTGCAGAACACTCACTGCGATGACAACATAATCTGTGTCGTTGGCTTTGACCATGATGACCTTGCTGCCTGCTTCTGTGGCACACACACACACACACACACACACACACACACACACACACACACACACTAAACCTCTAACAACACTAAGATATAGGTTACCAACCATTTTACCCAAGTCGGACATAATGTAAACCTCATAAATACCAGAATATTAGGATTCCTGGACTGAAATATGGTACAAGGAAGCCAGTAAGTAAGTCCATGGGTCCAAATTTGGATTCTGCATAGTGGAAAATGTATGATTTGACACCAAGTTCATCCAAATAGGACAAGTCTATGGGATTTTATTGCAAAATGCAATATTACTGTATTTTCAATGGTGGCCATCTTGAAAAATGGCCACCATCTTGAATTTTCATTTGGCCAGATGGAAATATCAAAAGAGCAACTCCTAAGGAGTATGTGTGCCAATTTTGGTGCTTTTATCCGCAAGTGAACGATTATTACAGTTATCTGCCCAGCTACAGCGCGTCTTTAAAGAAAATACAAGAAATCCAAAAACAGCAGTCAGCTCAGGCTGCATGAGTGCGTGATCTCTGAACTCACTAAAATCTGTAAATCAAACATTATAGTATTTAGAGACGAACTGATCCGCTCTGCTACAACAATCAAAAATATTAGAAATAAGAAAGCTGACAAAACTACAGCAGAGTATCCTGACAACATTGAGTTTTTTTTGTTTGTTTGTTTTGTTTTGTTTTTTAAGATTTGGAAATTAAAGTTGTAAACTTGGGAGAATAAAGTTATCAAGTAAATAAAGTCATAAAGCTGCTTCTGTGGAGGGGGAAATGACTGAAGCTGGTCATCTGCAGGGTTATCGGTGAATGTATCAGCGGGTCATTCAGAGAGTTTTTGTGGCATTTCAAGAAACAATCAAACTGATGATCAACATTTGTGATCCAGAGGAAGTTGCGCTCCGGCAAGCACCACGTCTCTGACACCGACAGTAACCTACACCTGCAGAGACACCAACACCTTATTATGGTATATGGATTCATATCATAAACTAAAGCTCAATGTCATTCACGGATATTTACGGCTGCATTAACGGATATATCCTCAGCATATTCATTTCTGCCTCCACAAAAGCAGCGATTTCCTTCAAGTATGCCAGTGTGAGATCCTTCTCTCTGAGTAGATGCCGGCGCACACTCTCATCACTCACACCTAGCACCAGTCTGTCTCTTCTCAGTTCCTCTCTGAGTTGTCCATACTCACAGGAAGCAGCCTTCTCCCTCAGTTTTGTTACAAATGAATCAATTGGCTCCCCTTCATCTTGCTTGCAGATGCCAAATATATATCTCTAAAATATGACGTTCTCATTTCTCATTTCAGGCCGTGTCTCATTTCAGAGACCGCACCGTCGAACAGCGCCTTTGAAGTGTGTGTGAGGTCATCACGTGGCGCGAACGGTGTCCCATTTGACACGAAATGCTAACCATGCTTCAAATTCGGTCTCAAAACCACACTGCCCCCGTTACTGCCAAGCCAGACCAGATTGCTGTTTTATTCAGGCCAATCAATGCGCTTAATAGGCATATTCCAAACAGATTGCATGGTGAGAGGAAAGACACACAAGCTACGATTTGAGATGGTAAGAGGCGGGCAGAGACCTCTGCTGTCTGGTGAAACTAGTGAGCGCCTAGGTCTAATGTGCTTCACCATCCCAGAAGAGCTGATGATGATGGGACATGGCAGCGCAGAGCCACTTACCAGACAGCACCTTGTGCAGAACTACCACAATGTCTTCAATGACCCTATCGAGTCACTCCCAGGGGATGTTCATTTTGGTAACATGGTGATTGTCCGTCAGTCAGAGAAACTGAGGATCTGCATAGACCCCAAGTCACTGAACCAGGCCTTAAAGAGGTCTCACTACATCATGCCAACACTTGAAGACGTGCTTTGCAAGCTGCCCAGGGCTTGCATCTTTACACTTGTGGATGCACGAGATGACTTCTTGCAGTGCAAGCTAGACCAGGAGAGCAGTTACACCACCACATTCTGGACGCCGTGGGGCAGGAAGCGCAGGTTGAAGCTGCCGTTTGGGGTGTCCGTGGCCTCAGAAATATACCAGCGAAAGCAGCATGAGCTATTGGCAGGCCTAAGTGGGGTAGAACCAATAGCAGATGACATACTCATAGTTGGGTGTGGTGAGACTGATGAGCAGGCCATACAGGACCACAACACAAAACTGTTAGCGCTCATGCAGAGGTGCAGAGAGGTTAAACTGAGACTGAGTCTAAAGAAACTGCAATTCAGGCTCAGAGAGGTCAAGTTTCATGGGCACATTCTCTCAGCAGAAGGGCTCAGAGTGGACCCTGAGAAGATTAGGGCGGTTAGGGACATGCCACGCCCTGAAGACGCCAAAGCCGTACAACAATTTATTGGGTTCGTAACCTACCTTGCAAGGTTCATGCCACACCCCTCTGAGATATGTGTGCCACTAGGGAGGCTGTTGGACAAGGATGTTCTGTGGCACTGGCTACCCAAAAGGTGGTGTACAAGCCGGGTCCAGATGTGCACATTAGTGACACGCTGAGCAGGGCCACGGCTCCATCGCTGGGGCCTGACACGAAGTACACAAAGCATACCATCTGCAGCCTACAGAGGGCACAAGAGGCCACTGAGCTGGTAAAGCAGGCTGACTACCTCAACGTCACCAGCCAGCGGCTTAACAAGATAAGAGTACACACTGAGGACGATGGGAGCCATTAGTTGCTGTAAAAGGTGGTTCTCCGGGGATGGCCAGATTGCCGGGAGAACGTACCTCTGGCGATCAGGGAATACTGGTCAATCAGGGACGAGATCAGCTCACAGGATGGAGTGCTATTTAGAAGCCAGAGAGTCATAGTGCCTAAGTCATTGCATGCAGAAATGTTGAAGCGCATCCATGCCAGCCATGTAGGCAGCGATGCCTGCTACAGACAGGCCAGGGACACACTGTACTGGCCCAACATGCACAGTGAGATCAAAGCCTATGTGAGCCAGAACTCAGCGTGCAATGAATACTCACATGAGCAGCAGCAGGAGACAATGATGTCCCATGCACTCCCAACACGACCATGGCAGATCCTCAGCATGGATCTGTTCAAGCAAGCAGGAAAGACTTTCTGATCATTGATGACCATTATTCGGATTTCTGGGAAATAGAGCTGCTCCCAGATCTGTCAGCGGAGACCCTAGTGTTGAGGTGCAAGGCCCAGTTTGCATGTCATGGACAGCCAGACCGGGTCATAACAGACTGTGGCAGTCAATTTGACTGTGAGGCATTCAGGAGATTCACAAAGGAGTGGGACTTTGACCACGTCA